TTACTCACCTTCCTGTTTAGTCACCGTCTCGTTTAGTCACCCTCTTGTTTAGTCACCTTCCCGTTTACTCTCTATCTTGTACTTCCGGCTAGTCCGCCGATTTACTCTCCTCTTTGTAACTCTTGCTCAGATCTAATAAAACGTCTTTGTTCGCCCTCATCTCTCTTTATATTGTTCAAACCATTTTCACCTCAAACAACCACGTGTCTCCCATCACCTCGTGTATCTCCGCTGATCCTTTGATCTTTTGCACAATGTATCTCCCGTTGTTTATCATGAAGATGCAGCTTAGTGGTATGTCTTTGTACAGCTTCGACTTCGCCTCCATGTTCCCGTCTAGTAGATCCATTATCCTCATCAGCTGGTTAGCAAAGGCCGAGTTCTCGCTCTTCTCCTCCTCCTCTCGCTCCATTGTTGAGTGAGACTTGAACACTTGTTCCAACGTTACTTTATATTCACACGAGTATTTAAGGTAGTTCATAGTGTACCTAGTCAGGGGGTGCACCCTGGCACAGGGGTCTTGCTAGAATCTGATTTGATAGAGCTCTCCAGATCGAAGAAAATGTTAATAGCTGTCTCTCCTATTAAGGTGGATGGGCTTCCAACTTAAAACCAATTGGTGATAAGTGGAGTGGCCCATCTATCTTATATATTGCTAGAGATCTCTTCCAACAAACGATGTGGGACTTTAGTCCCTAATACGCCCCCTCGAGATGATGGCTCTTTGGCATCAATCTCGGAATGTTCGGGCAAGGATCGATGGGCCGACTTTGGGCTGGATCGATAAGGATCGGGTTGGACTGCGTGGATCGTGGGCTCTGATACCATATTAAGGTGGATGGGCTTCCAACTTAAAACCAATTGGTGATAAGTGGAGTGGCCCATCTATCTTATATATTGCTAGAGATCTCTTCCAACAACCGATGTGGGACTTTAGTCCCTAATATCTCCTACGCGGGAACGAGCGCTAGTCACCTCGTTCCTCAGCTCCTCTGTCCCAGAGTGTCTCGTAGATATCAAGAATCTTGAAGAGCTTTTCAGTGGATCTTTTAGTCATGGCCACGGCCTCGTAAAAGCCCAAGAACTGGATGGCTAGACTGTGCGTGACGATGCAGAACAAGCTTCCCTCGTCTCCCAAGAAGATCTTCTCAGCGAGTTTGAGCACACCTGGGAAGAAGAGTGAAGAGCAGTTCTTGAAAGTCTTGTTCCAAATAGGTATCTCTCTCTCGAGCTCTCCCCAGCTCATTTTCAACACCTCGTCGATGCTCACTTTCTCGAACTCGAAGTCACGTTTCAAAGTTCGCATCAAGATGTTCCTTCTCGATACTAAATAAACCTCTTTGCATTCCCACACGTACCCCCCTTTTTTTCATCTTCTCTGCTATGTTCTTCAGCAAGGTAACCATCTCCTCCGAGTAACCAGGGTATTCGATTACCTCCTCCTGATCTACGCATTCTTGGTCGTGATGATCTTGAGAGACCACAGCATCGTTGTGGTGGTGGTCTTGTTGATCGTCAGTTACATGCACCGGAGGCTCTTTGATAACGGATTCTTCTAAAAGTATACGGAACTCGTCTTCCAAGAAGGCCATGGCACGTTGCTGGATTGATCCAGCGTGGTTGATCAAGGGCTCGTGATGGTCAAGACAAGATTTGGTGTTGAGTAATAGCTTCATAAGGTTTGAGACAAGATCTACTGCGTCGAGAAGGGAAGATACTTCATCTGGATCTTGGTACCATGTTGTTGTTGTTGTTGTCTTAGGCTGATGATGATCACTAGAATCGTCGTGTTTTGAGAGAGTTTGTCTTCAAAGAGATCCAAGAACTTGCCAACAAACTGAGGGATCTGAAAGTAGTCTCTTCTTCTTCTTCTTCTTCTTTCTCCTTGGTGGTGCTGTCTTTGTGCTTCTCTTGGTGAAGGGAGAGACTTGAGAGAAGCTGGTCTACTTCTTCTGATAATGACTCCAGGGTTTGAGGAACCTCTGGTACTACTTCTTGTCCTAATGGTGAGTCTACCTTTACTACATATTGTCATGATCTGTCTCATCTACATTATCTTTACTGATACCATTCTCATGATGATGGGGATCATTTGAAACGACGTCGCCTTTCTCTTCTCCTCTGGATTTGTTAATATGATCATCATCAGGGTCCTTGTCATTCTTCTCCATAATTGCTTGTTATTAATATTTACGTAAAGCTTGAAAGTGGCATGGTGAGAAAAGAGAGAATCATGTGTGTTTGTGTGTTTTCGTTTAGACTTTAGGATTTGTGGGTAGAGAAGTGATGGAGATGGTCGCAAATCAAAATGACTGAATCGAAGAAGTAGGGGAGCCTTGTGTTTTAGACTTTTATGTGCTTGACCGTTGACTTGTATTCTATTTTTAACCCAAAAACTGAAAGATGTAAATAAATGTATGTATGCCCTATGATTTATTGAACAATGATTTGAAGAAAAAGCGGGCAACGTTGGGCGTATGGTGCGCACGCATAGTCCTCCTCACACAATCACACAATTATATACGTGCATGCATAAACCATCTTTCATTTCTTAGATGTTTTATTATGAAGAAAAACATTTTCTGACTTTCAAATAAATACATTGTAGGCTGTTTTTAATGAAATTTGTCATTTGTAAGAAGGGAATCATCTGAAATACTATATTGTAAAGTGGAACAGAGAATGTCAATTAAACAAAACAATGTGACGTTGTCTGCTAGGGTTTGAGGACAACCCGATGTGGTGACTCACTTGCTCTTAGGCGGAGTTCTCCATCGCCTCTAGGCTGTCTGTTTGCAAGGAGAGCTATGCCTCCTTCCGTGCTTTATACCCTTGTGTTCATAGCTCTAACGAGTTGGCTTAGTGTTCCTTCGGGGTCTTTGTTGTATCCTATGTGTCGCGTGGGTGGTGTTGGAGCCTGTTGTACCGCCTATGCTTGACCGTAACTCGAGCTTCCATGTAACCAGCATTATTACGGATGAACCTTCGCCTTGCCGACGAGATTGCTAGGATTTGTTGGTCGAGGTCCTCCTCTAGCGGAGCTCCGGGGCGTAAGTCAGGCGCTTCCGTTGATGCCTGCTCAGAGCCACTTCAGTGATCTTTTAGCTTATTAATTTCAAGTTCTCTATGTATGAAGCTTGGAATTAATCCATATGTATCCTAGTGGTTTTTTTAATTTTTTTGCAGTCGTTAGGATCAAATCAGCTGCTGCAAATTGTGGTTTCGATTAACTTTGTAACCAAAATTTCATTTTCATTAGTGATATTTACCATTTAGCAAAAAAAAATACAAAGTAGCTAGGAGCAGAAATAAAACGTGTATATATTCCTTGTATATGGGCCTTAAACGTGATCATAAGTAATGCTGGGCTTAGAGTAAACAGAGACAGATATTTTGTAGAAGTGTAAATCCATTTAATGAGGAGAAAAAGAAAAGGAAAAAGGCAATGCAATGATGAGGAAGTGGATAAAAAGAGAGTGTGATAGGATAAGTAGTGAGAGAATGGAAAGAATAAATAGGGTTAGAGAAACATAGAAACCTTCCTTTTTTGGCAATTCCATCTTGGAACTTGGTCCTCTCTCTTTCTTCTTTGTTGTCTTTGGCGTCACAACAACAAGGTACTATCAAATCATATCAATCAAACAAACACTCGAACTGTTAAAGAGTGTTGTTAAAGGATAATTTCAAAATTTTAATTGAGTTCAGTCAAGTGTGATGATGTATGTACTCACTCGTGTTGTATGTGTACTGCACAGTGCTGCACACAACTGTCTAGTCAGAACGTGTCGTTACCAGATTATCCCTCGTTGCTGGATGTAACAGTCCAAACACAAAAAGCAACCAATCCCTTTTTTTTCTCTATTTTAAAGGGAAATAAAAAAGAGAAGTCTTGATCCCATCAACAACAACTTCGTTTCTCTTTCCACTCCATTCTACTTTTTATATTAACAACACATATTTCAATTTAGAACTTCTACTCTTTTAATTAATTAACGCGTTCATTTATCTTATACAAAAACAATTCAATTAAAAATTAACAAAAAAAAAAAGGTTTACTTTATGTACTTACTATCTTGAGATGTCTTCTCATCTCAAAACTGTGGAGTATTATTCAACGCTTCATATTAAGTTCTTTACCGTTTGTGTTGTAACTTGTAAACAAAAAATTAATTTAATAAATTTGCTGATGATATATTCTTTTCAAAGATATTTGCTCATGAAGTAATGTTAACTTAGAGAGAAAGTACACGTTTATTTTTTCAGTCGAGTTATTTTTTATATAGTCTGTATTGAGAAGGTACATATATACGCATCCCATGCATATATGGATGGAGCAAAAAGGATTACTTGGGATCTGTGAAATTAGTTAGCGAGAGAGAGAGAGAGGAAGCTAATGGCAAAAAGGTAATTTAAAAAGAATATATTCTCAGTAACAAACAAAGAAGAGACAACTTAAACCCCTTCCATAAAACCCCCATCAACCTCTTTAATCTCTCTCTCTCTCCGTAGCTAGCCTTCAAAAATGGCAGAGCCACCACCGTCGGCTTTCCACCAGTTCGTCGCTCCTCCACCAAAACATCGATCATCATCAACCAAAAAACACTCCTTCCAAGGACCTCAACACCCCACCACCATCCACCGTCTCTTCCCGTGCCAGTACTGTCCCCGCAAATTCTACACCTCCCAAGCTCTCGGCGGTCACCAAAACGCACACAAACGCGAACGCGCCGCTGCTAGACGCAACCTGGGAGTTGTTGCTCATCATGCTCCTTCCACCGTCATCGACAACGACGACGACGACGCCACTTTCCTTCGTTCCTACCCTTGTTATAGCTACTACCCTCAAGGATCTTCCGCCACTTCTTCGGCGATTGCTGGACCGGTTTGGAACGTACCGGACCAACAGACGATGATGATGGTGGGTGGGTACGTCGACCCGTATCCGTATCCGTTTGCTTACCCGTTTGGAGTTTCTGGAGATGGAAACGGCATGGAGGAAGAAGAGCCACAGCTGGATCTATCGCTCCGTCTATGAGTATGTTGGGTTTTTTTTTTTTTTTCTGTTTGATGTGTTTTGTCTTGTTCAGGTCATGACTCTTTTAAGTACAACTTTGGATCTACGTAGTAGCGTTTCTCTATCTTTCTCTTTTTGTGATGCCTCCTTTTTAATATAAAACTAGCTTTGGTTATGCTACTTTTTTTGATAATAATCGCGTTTTGATTTTAGTTTCATAGATCAGTCTATGTTTACATGTGTTAGAATTGAATACTTGAAGCGTTGATGGACGACGCATTTGAAAACTGAGCTTAATTGATGAGATGTCTCCCGTCTTCCGATCCGGTGAAAATCCTAATTAAAGTTGGTACGTGTGCGGAATCCAACATCTCATCATCACCCACACGTGACTGACTCACGTGATGCTCATGCCATAGCTATTTTTTTCCCCAATTAAGTAAACTGCGCGCCGTTTCTAAGCGTCTCACACAACCACTTTTACTCCACCCTAGGTAGAAAATTTTAACTATGTTAATAGAAAAGCATGATTCCAATTGAAATGTGGTGGTGTTAGAGAAGAAACATGTTATATAAATGTGCTACATACCAATTGTACTACTGTATCAACTAGGTGTTTTATATATAATTAATTCAAATACATTGAAATAAATTATTATTCATACGTTTAAAATATTTAACAATAAACTAAACAACATTTTTTTTATATACACAAAGTTTTTATTTATGATATGAAATAAATAATTTTATTACGTAAAATCAGCTTGAAAACATTTATGCGATTAAAATATTTAATAATAAATTAAATACCAAATTTGTATATTAGAAAGTTTTATAGTTTAGTAAAATTATATTTTATCACCTGATTAAATTTGAAAACACTCATGTATACATAAAATTATTACAAAATATATATGTAGGGATTATAAGAGAGATTTTTTGATGTAAACTAACTTTTTGGATGATAAAAACATAAATTATTTTGTTATAAAACAAATTATAAAACTTCAGGAAATTCATTATTAAGGTTAATATATACTTTATTTTAGATAATAATAGTTATCAAATTAATGATAGATACCAAGTTTTTTTTTTTTTTTTAACACTGTTGTATAAATTGAAATGTAGGTAATACAGAGGAAGCAAAAATAAAATGTGATATCAGTAGACACCATCCCAAACTGCAAAAGAAAAAGCTCACCTACTCCTTAATGCTGGGCCTCCAGAGCGAGTAAATGGTGCATCCAAGCCGGAGCGTTACGGGCGATGTATGACTGTTGACGATGATCCCGAGTGACACTTACAGCAATTGTTGTTGCTGTCTCATTTCGATCAGGAAGGACGTGATCCAGGCTCCAGGATAATAGTCTTGTCAAAAGGAAAGAGATATTATGTCGAATATGGCTTAGGCTCTGCCGATCTCCATTATGTGTTAGGACGTCACGTAGGCTCTCCGAAGAAGTCTCAAAAATAATATTTAAGAAATGTAAATTATGTAAACATTCCACCGCCCAGAAAAGAGCCCACAACTCCGCTTCCGTTTTTGTACGCATGAATGAATAAGCACGGCGGCTATGCATAATTGTACTCCCATTCTCATCTCGTAAAATCCATGAACCCCCATTAATATGATTTGAGTTTACCCATGAAGATCCGACATTGCATTTAAGGAATCCAGAAGGTGGCTTTTACCCATGAAGATACCAAGGTTTTAAAATTGCAATTTATTGACAAAAAATTACTATTATCAATAAATTTGAACGGGCCTCTTTTAATTGGGCCCATTATTAGGTGGAAAAACAATTAAGCCCATCGTTGACTTTTTCTTCTTCTTTCCGAGTGGGTAATAACAATATCATCGTTCAGAAAAGCGGAGGAAAATTAATCGCAGATCTGTTTCACATCAACACACCATGGCGATCCCCTTAGCTAAGCTCCTGATCTCCTTCATGACGATCTTCATCCTCGTCTCCGCCTCGTTCGCGACCTCGGAAATGCCGTTCATGGTGGTCCACAAAAAAGCTACTCTCAACAGGCTCAAATCTGGCGCCGAGCGTGTCCTCGTCTCCTTCGATATCTACAATCAAGGATCTGCGTAAGCTCTCTTCCTCTCTTCTAATTTTTTTTTAATCGCAATCCATTTGATTTAGTATCTAATACTCTAATTGCATGAAGAGATTAGACACTGTAGAGTCATGCCGTTACGCTTGATCTATCGTATGTGATTAGTGACGTGAAACGCCATTTTGATCTGTTATTCTGATCCGTGTTGCCTGCTGAGATATTTTTGATTTTTACATGCTTTTGATTGAGATTAGGACAATATTTTGACGGTTGAGATATTTTTTTGTTTTTGCTGGTTTGATCATATCAGGACGGCGTATGATGTGACTCTGATTGATAAGGGCTGGGTTAAGACGAAATTTGAACTTGTTAATGGAAACACGTCAAGAACATGGGAGAGACTTGATGCGTGAGTTCTCTCTCTCTCTCGCTCTTCCTTTTTTAATTATTAATGTTTTTGGTAGCTCTTTTTCGTTTACTGATTCTGATGTTTGTATGCAGAGGAGGTATTCTGTCTCATTCTTTTGAATTAGAGGCTAAGGTTAAAGGAGTCTTCTATGGTGCTCCTGCTCTTGTTACTTTCCGTGTCCCCACTAAGGCTGTTCTACTGGTTTGCCGCGTTTTATAAGCTTAGCTTCCTTCGTGCAAGAGGTTGATTGATATACAATAATCCCCTGTTTTACAACTTTGTTTGTTTGTTTGTAGGAAGCTTACTCAACTCCAATACTACCACCTTTAGACATCCTCGCAGTCATACCTCCAATAGACCCCTTGGCCTTGGTAAATTGTTCTTTCAATCATGTGCTAAACGTTTTTTTTTTTTTTTCATTCTTGTCTTTATTGACTTTTATTGTTGTCTTGTGTTGTGTATTGGATGCTCTGCTTTTATGATCTCAGGCCAAGGTAACTCGATGTGCAAGTCTCCCTTTTCGTATGAATTCATTGAATGTCAGAGTTCTCATCTTACTTTATTTGAATTGTTGCAGAGGATACTGGCGAAATATGGATCGCTTGTTTCAGTGATCTCCATGGTGGTTTTGTTCGTTTACTTGGTAGCAACACCTTCAAAGCCCAATGCAGCGAAAGCGGGCAGCAAGAAGAAACGTTAAGTTCGTTGAATGAAGTTGAGAAAGGTTGTGTTAAACAGATAAACACAGTTTCAAAACTTGTAAGAATCGTAGAACACACTTTAACGTTCGTGTCGCAGAGTACTTTTTTTTAAGGTTATTTTGTTCTGCGTAATAACATCTTTTTGAAGGTCTATTTTACTTTGATTCTGCCTGGTTTATTCTGCATTCTCTTTTTGTCATATTCAAGTTTAATTGCCTATTTGCCATGTATCCTGTTTAATATGCATAGCCGTTTTTGTAGAATTTGAACTGGTTATGGTCTTTAGCTTCATGAGTTTGCTTGGTTATGGGTTTTTAACTGAACTTCAGAAAAGTATGAGGTCCAAGGTGTAAAGAGCTCCACCTTGTAATTGTTGATCTGCGTCATGACATGAAGACCGGTTGATAGTTTTTTTTAAATTGAAACAAATTTTAGCCATTTATTCAGAAATGACAAGTAACTACTAGAGTATGTTGATTTGGTCAACTAAATCGCACTCGTCATTCATATAACTTCAGACCCAAAAAGCATGATTTGGTCAACTAAATCGCACTAACCATTCATATAACTTCAAACCCAAAAAGCATTCTCTATTATGCTGTATTATCCAGAATTGGCAGACTGTTTGATGCTAATATAGAAAAGTATGAAGCATGGAAAAATAGTAGGTCTAGGCAGTAATAGTAAAGTAGTACGTTGAGGCCAACAAAAATAGTAACAAAACGAAATTTTCAAATGAAACAGAGCAAAAGTAGTAAAAATAGACGTGCCCACTCTATCTTTTAAGTGTGGGAATAATCCCGAATTAAGAAAACACATTTCAAAAATGTAATAAAGTTTGAATCCGGAGGACGAGCTCCACTCTTCCTCATAAGTTTCTCTTATTTGTTTTTTTTTCCAAACAAAAATCCTAACCATTTTCATCATCATTTAGTTTCAGGCTTTGATCGCAGGAACTGGAGCAACACCACCGGTGGTTGGCCTGAATCAAATATAAACGGGTTGAGAGTTTGCATTTTATGAAGTGGTATCGATTGATCAAAGAAAGAAGTGAGAAGAGAGAAACTTACAGTCCAACAAAGACTTTGAAGGCATCATATAATCCCCACTGTGCTCCGGTCAATGTTCCTATCATCACAATTCTCAGAGGAAGCCCTCTCGTGAATAGTCCCACCATTCCTATCTTCTTCACCGCCTGCAGCAACATAATACATCAAAAAAATTCAATAATCATCCTACAGAAACACAAATGAATATTTTATGTCTCTCTTGTATTCAAGATAGCAGGACTTACATCTCCTACGGTTGCTCCCTTAGCGTTGTTGAGGAACGACACAAGATTATCAGCTGGGTGGGAAACAATTGCACAGAACACTCCAGCAACATAACCTCCAGCAAAACTCACACCAAGCTGCAGACCTTTGCTGCACTCGTGTTTGGGGTTGGGGATAGCATACTTGTAGATCATCTCAACAATAGTCTCAAACGAAGCAAACTTCATCATAGTGTCTGTCACAATTGCAGAAATCACATCAGCAAAAGGTTCCTTTTTAAGGAATAATAGCCAAAAAAATAGAGAGAATATAATAAGCCTAAAACTCACAAGGAATCTGACGTCCCCAAAGTGGAGCAAGACCCTTGTACAGCCTGCAAAAACAACAAAAAGGGTTATCAATCACAAGCTGAAACAACGTTATTGGTGTCCAAAAAACTCACCCTCCATATCCTTCAGACTTGACAAACTTAGGAAACCCATCAGACATTCCTCTAGCAAACCCAGGCTGTGTCTGAACCCTAACCTTGACAGCTTCAAAAGGACAAAGCGCAACATCGGCAATAACCTCCGCAGAAGCCGAACCAGCAAGATAAATGAGTGTCTTGTACTTGGCAGTAAACTCAGGTCCAGCGAGATCAGAGTAATACTTCTTGAAGAACTCGTAAAACCCAAACTTACAAGCCCCCTGAGCACTGTACCCCAACAAAGTAGGAACCCATCCACGGAAAAAGCCTTTAACTCCTTGCTCTTTCAGCAAAATCCCAAAACCAGACGAGATGCTCTTGTACTTGGCCGGATCAATCTACAATAGAACCTTTATAAATTAATACTCCATAAATTAATATAATTTTATAGTCATCGAAAAATACTTGCACAAATAGCTCTATTAAATAGGAGTTGTCTTTATAAGATTTCAAATGAGATAAAAAATATAAGTAATTGCCCCATAGGGGATTCTTATTTGTACAAATGGTAATTCGAACTTTTGGTTCGATATTGATAAATTAATATCTTTCTAATAAATTAATAGAAATATAAAATTTTGGTGTACTCCAAACATTATAAATTATCCCAACATTTTAAATTAGAGGTTTCATTGTACATATAACCCCAGAGACCAAAGTGAATCACAATGTAACCTAACGGATCTAAGTTCTAACCAACTAAGAAAACTAGATCTAAACACATACCTGCATATTGCACTTGACGAGATCGAGAGGAGTAACAGCCATGTGAGTGAGACCACAGCTGAGAACACCACCGAAGGTACACGCGGCGTAGAAAGCAGGAGAGTACATCTCGATCCCTTTCCCTGGCTCAGTGGGAGACGCGATAAGGAAGTTTTTACGAGACACCATCGTCGTTTGAGGAGACTTGTCGAGATTGGGGGATTGAAACGCGGCGTTTGAGTTGGAGGTCAGGACTTGGTCGATGAGAACAGATCTGGGAGAAGAGGAAGAGGAATAGAGGAAGCTAGGGATCAGAGACTGCTTCGACGATTCCATTGCTGCCGCGGAGGAAGAGAGAGATAAGATTCGCGTGTGAAATGTGTGGGGGGGTGGGCGGCGATGTCTGTATCTCTCTCTCACGTTTGCCTTAAAAAACAACCAATGATGTTAGGGTTATTACCAACTCTCGAGTCTTGGTTCCTTATTGGACAATTTGATTCCGTTGAAACAAGGCGTGTACTTTTCAGTAATTACGTAAATGCCGTTATGTATAGTTTTATCCTCTTTTTAGTGGCCCATGGGCCTTAGTTGGCCCATCAAAAGACTATATAATACGAAAAATGAATATAAAGTTGTAAAACTTTAAAAATCTCTTACGAAGAACAAGAAGCACTCGCCGCCGAGACAATCACGGTCGTAAGAGTTTCTGCTCGTCAGCGCAACCTTTGTAAGTTGTTTCATACGTGAAATTAAAGCTCTTTGTACCCGATTGATTAGGAACGTAGCGATGAGCATTGTTATCACAGAACGCTCAGACATATAATGTTAGAGGAAAGAGAAGAATGATGGAGAAAGGAGATTCCGAAATGAAAAAGCTTGAGAATTTGTTATTCGGGTCTCTTTAAAACCCTGTCACGTTTGGTAAGGAGGAAGAAAGGGTCTGCTTTGTTTCATGTAGACCGTTCTGCTTTGAGGCAGAGTTCAGATATTGAAGAGAGAAGCTGCATGGGAGGATGAAGAAGAGAAAGTAATAAACATTGATATAACTACTGTTAACCGTCTGAGGAATCTAAATGAAGAGTGTTTGATCTCTGGTTCTGAGAGCTCATCATGCTAAGCTTAACCCGGGAACAGATTTGGCTCGGCTTGATTCTCATGGAGATTCTTTTTCTTCAGATGATGATGATATTGTCAGGACTAATGAAGATCTTGTTGTGAAGTCCAAGCTGTGTTCTGGTCTTCTTGACTACACACAACTCGGTAATATTAATGCAACTGATCCTTCAGACTCTCCAATAAACTCGGTTCACTTTCATCAGAACGCTCAGCTGCTTCTCACCGCTAAGGTTAAAGTTTTTCCATATTGATGGGAAAAGGAACACTAAGATACAAAGCATCTTTCTTGAGGATTGTCCTATTCACAAAGCAGCCTTCTTGCCTAACGGGCCGTTAGGTCATTGTCTCAGGGAGGAGAAACTTTTTTTAACAGCTTTGATTTAGAGAAGGCTAAGTTTGACAGAATTGGTCCTTTGGTTGGTAGAGAAGAGAAGAGCTTGGAGAATTTCGAGGTGTCACAAGACTCTAAGGCCATAGCCTTCGTGGGAAACGAAGGTTACATCTTACTTGTGTCCACAAAGAGCTGATAGGAAACCTTAAAGATGAACGGTTCAGTGACGTCTTTAGCTTTTGCTGATGATGGGAAGAAGTTGTTGAGCTCAGGAGGAGACGGGCAAGTCTATGTCTGGGACCTGAGAACAATGAAGTGTTTACACAAAGGTGTTGATGAAGGAAGCACGTGTGGGACTTCGCTTTGCAGTTCACTAGATGGAGCATTGTTTGCCTCTGGGACAGATAGAGGGATTGTAAACATTTACAAGACGTCTGAGTTTGTGGGAGGCAAGAAAAAACCGATGAAGACAGTGGAGAATCTCACTTGGAAGATAGATTTCATGAAGTTCAACCATGACGCTCGGATTCTAGCTATAGGGTCAAAGATGAACACAAACAGTGTAAAGCTGGTTCATGTTCCGTCCTTACCCGTCTTCTCGAACTGGCCGTGACCAAAAAGCAACAACGCTCAGTGCTTGGACTTTAGCCCAAGAAGTGGCTTCATGGCTATGGGAAACGCTGTGAGAGAAGTTTTGCTGTACCAACTACGTCTTTACAAGAATGCTTAAAGTGGCCCTGGCTAGGGCAGTTTATTCTTTTAACATTTTTTAAAATTGAGTGGGACTCACGCTATGTCAACATCTGACACTTTTTTGATATCTAGAATTACATTTGCCACTATTTAGATCCCATGAAATAAAAGCGTCATCTTTTTCGTATACTTTGATAATTGCAGGTTTCTTTAGAACCTTAAAGCATTCTTGTAGGAATATAGCTTTAAGAAGTTAGTTCTGAAGCTGCAAAAGTCGATTTGATTGTTAAGACTGTTACTTGCGGTGTCACAAACATTAGAAAGTATTGAAGAACTCCATTTAAGTTTGGATAAAACGATGTTTGCCATGTTTTTGTGATTGTTATCTAGTGTTGTTCACAGTCAAAGCATACCCCTTACTCTCACGAGAAACAAAACTCGAGCTTGGAGTGGAGACAACTATTATTACAAGTAAGTGCCTTTGGTTCTTGTTTCTCAGTGCTTGAACTATTGACCATTGTCTCTGAATCTTGCTTTACTTTCGATTAATTTTCGTTTATGAATGTGGGCTAGTCCATTGCAGATAACATACAAGGACTACTACATCAGTTTCTGAAAAGGCGTATTGGTGAAGAAAGAGTTAAACAGAATTGGAGAGTGCATGTCCACAAAGCTCTTCTTCTCTGTGTATCTCGACAAAATTGGCCACAAAGCGCGTCAAGTATGTTATCTTATGATTAGAAGCTCGTCAAACAGATTAAAGACAATTGAGAATGTGTCTATTCTCACAGTTCATGAGACATTACTTGATGATATGTTGTTGCTCGGCCAATATTGTTTTTGCCAATAATCTGATAATAATAATAACTTTATTCAACTCTGTTTGACATCTCACTACAAGCACACATATTCTCTGCATGAAGGTGTTAACCACATTTAACGACTTTGGAATATCGATGGAGGTTGTGGCAACAAGTGAATTTTAGTATATATCTTTGACATTGGATCCAGCAAAGCTCTGTAGTAGAGAGTTAGTTTCAACGGTCAAACGTAAGACTCCTAACCTTTGGTAGATGTTTTTTTGTTTTGTAAAAGGTTTAATCATATGTAATATCGGTAGAAATTATTGGGGTGTGAAACAGGAGGAGGTGGATCATGTGGTAGAGGAGAGCTAGAGAAGATTGCAGTTGTGAAACTGCTTCAGAGAAGATCAATCATCTCTCTCATAGTAAATGTTCAGAAATCATCACTCATATTAGAGAAAGGTGAGTGAGAGTAAAACTCAGTCTTGTGGTTCTATTTTGATTTTGAAGTTAATAGTTAATAGGAAATGGAATGAACAAACAAAACAGGTTTTTCAAAGTACCAATGAAGTGAATGTAATGATGAAATTTAATCAAATAAATAAAATGAATTATAATGAAGGGGTAGAGCAATGTGTAAGGGCTCTTTACTCTGCCTTCTTTGAGACCTCTTCTTAATTCAAACACAGAGCTAAGAATGTGTTTAAGACTTGGAACTACTTCACAATGTCGTTGTTGTTGTACAGTTGCACAATTTGTGCCAAGTATATTTTTTTCAACAAACGGTGAAGGCTATAGTTTGAATGAGAATAAAAACATAAGCGCTTTTTATTGTTCCGAAAATATCCTTCCACAAAAGCCTATGCCTTTTACTTCTTTCAGGGCTATAACCGTCTAACCGACCACCAGCTGGTCAACAAAAAATACACATCTGATGACATGTGTTACGTAAGGCTTCTATAACGACGTTCGATTTAAAGTTGGACCGACAAACGTAATCCCTCAAGATTTCTTTTTGCTTTTTTTTTAATTATTTAATTACTTCCTTAAGCCAAATATTTATTTATTCCAATATATAATCAGCTTTAGTTTATTTACCAAATCTTAAACCCATGAAGGGACATATAACCCTTCAGGCTCATTTAGACTAATAATAATATCCATGTCTTAATTATCCTCCTGTTCTTTTAATAAAACAAACAAAAAAGGAATCAGAAATGTGATCATATAAGTTGTAGAATATGAAAAAGTATGAATATTATTCATATAGAATCGATGAGATGTGGTGACCCTGTATTGAAGACTGGTACCTACATATTTCTCAACAAGTTGTTTGTGATGACAACCAATTTTTTTGGGGGGAGGGGTTGGTCAAACATGAGAATCAAGAAGGTGAATTCGCAGATAAGAAAAAGGCAGCGCATGCATGATGGAAGCCAAAGTTGCATGTGACCAACTTTGTTAAATTCTACATTTTTCAGCCTTTTAGTGAGCTTGTTACTTTTAAAAAAAAACTTGTTACTTATAGACTATATAGTTCATCACTTGTTAATTTATTAATGTGTTCTTGCTTAGCATCCCGGTATTTATAAATGATAAATAGCAAGCAAGAACACATGCCAACTTGTAGTTACCATACGTCATGAACACTGACATTATGATGTTAGCAAGTAAACGCTGGTTGCAACTATACTAGTGTCTTCTTAAAAAAAGAAGCTCATTCCAAGCATATTGATGAGTCCTTTATTCTTTCTTTTTTATAAACATTTCTCAGTTTTATATATCCCCCATTGGCCCTAGGTTAAATGATTATATACGAAATTCGATCGATCCTTATTATATATTCGAACTCATAATATATATATGCCTAGCTATATTTGTAGGATCAATGCTCTAGGTGGATTACATTCTAAAGAAAATATTCCACCTCCTTTTCTGCTCATATTGATAATGATATTATATCTAGCTTGTTTATAGAGATTGATTAGAGGAATTTGAGTATAAAGTAAAAAAAAGGAATATAATAGAAAACCACCGGCCATATCCAAAACATTCGACCTCATCTCAATGTTACGACTTGCTCACATAATGCTGGCACTTGGCAGCATCAAGGTTTTTATTCGACGCGTCTCTATAATTTATATATATACTAGATTTTGACCATTTTTTATGATTAAAAATTTATATAATTAAGTTTTGTCTTAATTTAAAGAATATTTTGATATAAAATCAGTTCACCAAAATTTGTGGTGATGATTGTTTTTCATTAGTTTTTAGTTTCAGTTTTTATTTTTAGATTTTGGTTTTTGGTTTTTGGTTTTTAGTTTTTAAGTTTCTACTTTTCATTTTCAGTTTTTGGTTTGGATTTTTAATTTTTAAACCCGCTGAGTTAGTTTGAACTAATATTACCAACAAACAAATCTCAAATAATCGAACATCTTATATATCTTATATATTAAAACAGAAGTCATGACTTGACTTCATGTGTGATTTTTTAAAAAATGGACTATTACTAGAAAGTTATGTTATATTAACTCTCTAAGAATCTTATCATTATTATATCTTATTAAAAATCATATCTATAATAACAAAGATACACTTAACAATTTAGTTTTGGTAATTACCCCACATCTTCCAACTTAGTCATGCAAAATATGTCAATAGATATAAGTTTATAAATCTTCTATTATTTATAAGGAAATATGTCAATAATAGTTAAATGCATCCACAATATATTAACAAAAATCACATATTAATAATATGGAATATTTATATACCCTAACAAAATTTACACGTTATATATATTAGATAAATTTATTTCGATGTAAAATTTTAAAATTATATTGTTTAAAAAAAATAAATTGTTTTGATAAAATTCTTTATAATATTAATTTATGAAGCTATAAGTTTAGTTTTTAGCAAAAATTTCTTTGAAATTTATATTATCTTTGCAAATTAAAGTATACTAATATTTAATCAAGCTCTATTTATACTACTTTATCTAAAAATGAAATAGTAATCTAACAAACAATAAAATATAGAAGAAGAAACAAACACATGTTTGAAAAACATGTATAATATAGAAAATTTGAAACAATCTATTTGATAAAAACACTTATTATATAATATTATTATGTATACATATCGTAAATATGTGATTACTATAATATATACCAATTTACAACTAAAAACAAAATGTTTATATAACTAACTATAAACGAAAACAAATACCCGCGCGGTTGCGCGGGTCAAAATCTAGTCTAATTTAAAACTGAAAAGATGATAACAAATTTTTTTAAAAAAATTTGAAATAGTTTATTTTGTAAATAAACAAAGCAAAAAATAGAACATGTGTTTTCATCTTTTGGTTTTGGATTTTAGTTTTTGGTTTTGCTTTACATTTTTTTAATCAGTAAATTATTTAAGAAAAATGAAACAATAAATTATTTAAAAGTTACCATTGAAATTTATCAAAACAAAGTGATTGTTATTTAAAATAAAAAAATATATTAACATGTTTTAAAGTACATGATTTAAATAAATGATTAATAATAGATAATTTTGTTTTGTTATTAAATACCTTTTGGGTCTGAAAATAATAATTTATTTTTTGATCTTTTAAGGTGAAAAGTTTATTCAATGTTTTTGGAGTTTTTTCTTAATACTAAGCCAAAAAACCAAACTATATAATTTGTTCAAAAATAAAAGTAAGTCCAGGACTATATTCCATAAATAACCACTGGTTTAATTTAAGTCTAATTAGTAGATTTTCATATTCCATATTTTGATGATATATTTTTTTTAGAACATTCCATATTTGTATGAGAAAATATGTGTTTCTGGTATACACATAGATACCTGCCGTATTTTGAATTTAGTTTACATTAAGGTCGTCTCTTTACATTAATTGTGTTGGTTTAATTTAAGTAATACGGTTCAATCAATTATATGACTTATATTATTTGTAACATTCTAGAAAGTGTCCAAATTTAAATGACAACTTGTATCAGTAGATAAAAAGAATGATTCTATTTTAATAGAGTAGATATATATATATCGGACCAATTTGGCAGACAGAGCTAGTTACTGTCACTGTGCATGTAATTAAGACGTTTTACAGTAATAACCGACATGAATATCTATTGCCATTATTCCCTAAACCTATTTAACTGAAAAATATACATATTCTACTTTTAAAATTGTTTGAAAAAAAATAATTGGAAACATATATAAAACTTAATGAAATATCAAATTATTACGAAAGATAACAACCATGACTATCACATCAATTACTTTGTTATCATTTCGAATATATAATAAATAATATCTACCAATTAGACGTAGAAGTTCACCTTCTATAAATAGTCTGCATGCCTCTTACTCTTTCCCCATCCCAACCAACTCACAAAACACACACTCTATCTCTCTAACTAACAAAGCAAAAAAAATGCAATACAAAACCGAAACTCGGGCCTCCTTGTCCTACAACAAGGTGAACAACATGAATGTGTTTCCGTCAGAGACTTTAGCTAGAATAGAGTCGATGGCAGCAGAAAATGCGGTGGTGATATTCAGCTTGAGCACTTGCTGCATGTGCCACGCCGTCAAGCGTCTCTTCCGTGGATTAGGAGTCAGCCCCGCCGTCCATGAGCTCGACCTCCACCCTTATGGAGTTGAAATCCACCGAGCTATCCTTCGTCTCCTTGGCTGTTCCAGCGGTGGCGCTTCCACTTCTCCGGTGGCACTTCCGGTGGTATTCATCGGTGGGAAGATGGTAGGAGCGATGGAGAGAGTGATGGCTTCTCATATCAATGGCTCACTCGTCCCTCTTCTCAAAGATGCTGGGGCTCTCTGGCTCTGATCATAACCAAAGTCCAGTTTCTTCTTCGGTGTGTTTTTTTCACTTTTTGTTTTGTTTTAAAAACAAACAAAAAAAGATTAATTAGGTTTAATCAGTGTTGTATTAGAGAGAGTGGGAGAAGAGTGGTGCGTTTGTTTTAAGCTTAGCTTAACACTCTTTGTTTATTATCTTAACTACACTAATACAATCATATATTATTAGTAATCTTCGCCTCTATATACTTCCTTATCTCTACTTTTACAACTTTGACTTGCAAAATTTAATGGTCAAACTAAGATGAATATAGTAAGGTTGTTTTCTTGACCAAAAATCTCAACCGTTATAACTGTTAACGGTGGGGAAAATAAATGACTCAGTGGTCCCCCACACCATATTACGTGGATACCCACCAGCAATAATCTGTGATTTTGACCCGAGCTGGGCCGACCAGCGTCGGACCCCGTACATGCTGATCCAATAGCTTCACGTATTTTCTTCTTTTCTGACAAAGTATGTAATGTATACATCAGATTACATTTCCTCAGAGTTTAACCTTTATTTCAGTAACGCTTTAAAGGGCTCATCATTGAAAAAGAAGATAAATCGCATGTAACGTAAGAATTTTTTTATAATTCATTAGAATAATTCTTACGTATGAAGGGACTTGTAACGTATGCATTCACCCTGACCTGAGAGAACCCGGCTAAAGCATTAGGATCTACAAAGAACAAAGGGAACACACAATTTGGGGAATCTTATAGTAGCCTATTGGTGTGATTATGTGCTCTCAAAGTGCGAAGAATGGAATCAGAATCAGGTGATGAACATAAAGACAGCAAGAGGGCAGAAGAAATTGTGTGAACAAGAGAAAAATGCATTTAGTGCTGCAAAATACGTTGATAGTCAATCTCAATCAAACTTGAGTTTAATATAAAACAACAACCCCTTGGAACAAAAACGATGTTACTGTAAAAACAAGACTGGAATAAAAGACTAGAGAAATTACATTATTGTGTTTGACTTCCAACAAGACCAAAAACAAAAAAAAAAATTCAAATCTAAATAGTTAAGTAGACATATGGTGTTGAAACCAAAGTCATAAATCAAACACTGTATGAAAAAAAAAAAAAAAAAGGAAAACTAGTTTTTGTCTTTGGGAATGTTCTTCCTCGGAATCTTGGTTTCAATTTCCTTTGGTTTTATCGACTGTGCTGCCCTGAAAAAAAAAACACACACAAATCAAACTCATCGTCAATAACACACAACATTCATACACATAAAACATCGCTTTGTGTTGCTACATATCTTATCATCAAAACCAAACCAGCACTGAACAAATCATATACTCTAATGAAAATCTAAAGTTACCAACATCTAAGCAGATAGTTTTTCTATACAATTTTCGTTGGAATTATTAAAAAAAATTCAATCGACATTAATTTTAAATCTAGCACTAGATACTGACCCGCCCTTTCCAAGGGCGGGTTTATTTTTTGTTTTTAATTTTTGTTACCCAATGAAAATTATATTTTTGTGTGTTTGTGTAATCATTTTTTTATGTTAAAAATTTATTAGAATAGAAATGCTTTTGTAAGTATATTCAATAAATTAAATTTCATAAATATTTACTTGTGATATACTCCATCCGTTCCTAAAAGATGTATATAGTTAGTTATAAACATTTTCTTTCACTTGTAAATTGGTATATATTATAGTAATCACATATTTACGATATGTATAGTAAATGTTTTTCAAACATAATAATATTATATAATACGTTTTTAATCAAATAGATTGTTTCAATTTTTTTATATTATACATGTTTTCATACATGTGTTGGTTTCTGCTTCTATATTTTATTGTTTGTTAGATTGGTATTTCATTTTTAGATAAAGTAATATATATATAGAGCTTGATTAAATATTAGTATACTTTAATTTGCAAAAGATAATATAAACTTCAAATTTTTTTTTACTAAAAACTAAACTTATAGCTTCATAAATTAATATTATAAAGAATCTTATAAAAAAAAGAACTTTTTAAACAATTTCTTTTTTTTTAAACAATATAATTTTAAAAATTTACATCGAAATAAATTTATCTAGTATATATAGCGTGTAAATTTTGTTAGGTATATAAATATTTCATTACGAATCTATGATTTTTGTTAATATATTGTGGATGCATTTAACTATTATTGACATATTTCCTTATAAATAATAGAAGATTCATAAACTTACATATATTGACATATTATGCCTGACTAAACTGGAAAGTGTTGGGTAATTTACCAAAACCAAATTGTTAAGCGTATATTTATTATTATAGATATGATTTTTCATAAGATATAATAATGATAAGATTATTAGAGAGTTAATGTAACATGACTTTCTAGTAGTAGTCCATTTTTTAAAAATCACACATGAATTCAAGTTATGACTTTTGTTTTAATATATAAGAAATGATGGAAATATTTATATAACTAACTGTAAGAAAGGTATTTATAAGAATTGATAGAGATGGAAACGTGTTTAGTTAAGATATAATCGGATTTGGAAGTTTAAAAAATTGTTGCAAAAGATATGAAGTTAATTTGCGGGATTAAGAGAGTGGAGATAGAAACAGGAGCAGTTAAGGATTTGATCCCTGGAATGTTCTTATTTGTTGGAATATAATCTTAAGTTTAGCTGCTTAAGTTCCACATTATTAGGAAATAAATAGATGAAAATAATGTTATAGATGTAATCGGATGACAAAAAATAGGATTATAAATAATAGAAAGTGTTGGGAAAAATAGGATTTGAGTGTTATTAGGTGGTTGTTTAGATGCCCTTTAAGTGGGAGCTATATATTTAGAACAGTAGGAAGAATAAGTATTAAATATATAAGGTTTCTTTTTTCTCGGCAGTTATACATGATCTGGAATTAAAGTAGTTGCAGTTACCATTATTCGTTGCAGTTATTAGAAATATATGGGGTTCTATATTTAATCGAATATTAATTGTTAGACACAACATATATCAATGGGTCACACTGCTGTTTTAATAAAATAGATCTGCGGATGATTATTACGGTCTAAGGAACGGAACCTTATATTATGTTTTTAATGTATCATAAAATTTGAAATAACCAAAGGGAAATCGAAATAGGAAAGAGAAGAAATGAACTAACTTGGAGGCGGCGGAGGTTTCTTCTTCGAGCCAGTGACGGATGTGCTTGACGTTGCGTCTCAATACGGTGACAGATTGCTTGACGTCACTCCTCAATAGCATCACCACGGCTCCTACACCGGCCACCGTCAGTATGAAATTCGTTAAACCCATTCTTTCGATTTAAGGATCCGATTCAAAGACTTTGCAACTGTTTCTTTCTTGGTTGAGACGCTTAGGGATTTAAAGAGGGCTTTTATGTTTCTTTTTGATCTTTTTTACTTGGAGAAACAGGCAAGGTAGTTGATTCGTTCGTTCATCGTGATTCACTCAGTAAACCCTTTTATGGACCGTTGTTTTTGCATAATTATGGGCCTTTAAGATCATTAAAAACCTAATCATTCGATCAAACTTAGATTAATCATCGAGATCACCAGGTCCATATTTAATATATGATGTGGGAGAGATTAACTAATAGTAATACTATTGAACTTGAATATATGAACATACTACATACCAACATGTTCTCGACCAAAAAAAATATTAACATGTTTTTTATAAGCAACTCTATCACCAAGTAGTAAAGTCAATGTCGTCATGACTCATATGTTCTCTACTAGCCGTCAATAATGCATGGTGCTATATTACTATTAGGTTATAATCTAGGAAATGGAATAGTCCATCTCGTCCATGCATGCGATGATGGTTCAAATATAACCCGAAATGCTACGATATAATTGTAGAAGTACTAACAGAACTAATAACGAAAAGGATTCAATAATGTAATTTCAGTACAAGTACTTAACTGGGAATCATAAAAAACTATCAAAAACAATAACAAAAAAAAACTGGAAATATAGTTAAGGATTCAGAAGCGGTGAGGGGCGTTGCAATGTCAAATTAACTAGGCAGCGTAGATGTGGATATGAAGAGCGATAAGGGAGACCGTGATGCAAGCAAAGAAGATGAGAGTGTGAATAATAATGGCTGCGCCGCTTGTCTGAAACCCTCCAAACTCAACCACTCTGGTCTTCCCCGGCAGCTGAAACAAAACTCCTGGAGTCAATACGATGAAAAAGATCACCGACATTAACACTGGTCCCCAATTCATCGACATCTCGAGATCTAGCTAGATAAAGTGTTTATGTTAATTTTAGGAGTTTATTGCATACATAATACATTCATGTATGTTATTAATATAGAATGCTTGTGCCAAGATTGAGATATCTTAATGGACCAGTGGCTTGAACCGGAAGAAATTAGAAGTTTGCATGGTGAAGAAAAGAACCATTCTCTGTAGCTACTTGATCGTATCATTATAATATTATTGTCACACTCTTAAACAACAACAAAAAAAACTGTTTGTTGATTGTTGGGTATGCTAAGAATCTGATTCAGTCTCGTGGGTATGTAGCATCTTTTGTTTGTTTTTCCCCCTAAAGAGATTATGATTCAAATAATATTTCTTTCAATCCTGAAAAATAGATTTACAACTGCATGATAACAAGTTCCATTGTGGATTATGACATTTCAATATAGCAAGCATTAATAAAAGAAATAAAGTTTGTATTTTCTTAAAAACATTTGTTACTAATTAAAAGCAGAGCAATCCCTACGAATCTCTCCTTGGTTCCCAACCTTAACTCCAACACGGCCAAGTTTCCTCATAGCCAATATGAAAGCGGTATTGAACTCTTCAGCACTGTTTGCAAACCTTATCACCGTTGCCTGAGACCTGAAATCGTTAAACAGAACTTGGTCGGATGTGAAAAGACCTTTCCGAGCCACAAGGTTCTTGAAGTAAGCATTGTCAAAGACGTTTGGGGTGGTTAAGTCCAGGTTCACGGCTACGCTGGGGTCCGCACCGACACGAGGGCAGGATTGCATCAGCTGCTGTGCGTAGGATGGATCAAGCGTGGGGTCTACGGGCATGAACGTTGAGAAGTTGTAGAGACGGTGAGCGAAACGGTCGCAGTGTGAGAATCCTATAGTGTGTGCGCCTGAGAGAGCTATCATGTCGGTCATTGTGAGTCCGTTACTAGCGAATAGATTGACCAGACTATTGACGTCTAGCTCTGGTCCTGGTAACTTCCCGTCAACTCGTGACGCAGTTGACACGAGCCCGTCTCGTCTCCCTAGCTCCACCTTATACTCTGGCCCTCCTGCCTGTCATTATCTCATAGTTAATGATGTTATAATCTTTTAATTCATAGGATAAGAGCATGATTAATCCGAGTTTCTTACAGTAAGGTTTTTTGCTTTTTTAGTTAAAAGTAAAAACGTTAAGAACCGGTTTTTAAATAAAAATTTTAAGAACAGGTTCCTAGCTTTTTTTTAATTAAAAGTTAAGAATTTTTTTTTAACTTCCGATAAAAACCCCATCCTAAAAATCCGGATTAATCATAGTCGAAATGAAGAGTCAACGAGGAGCTTTGACTTACGAGGACGACAACGTCTCTAGCTGCGAGAGCCATAATATCGGCACAAGACACAATACCAGGACATTGAGCTTCAACAGCGAGTTTAGCTTTATTCACAGTGTCGAAACCGTCACCGGCGAGAGATATGTTATCCTGTGAATCCCTCTCCGCGTCTCCATTATCAGATGCTATTAACACAGAAGCGTCACATCCCTATACAGTCCACCAACCACATGAATAATAAATAATACCAAAGAAACACAAAAAAAGTTTCAAGATTGCAACATACACCAACGAAGCAGTCGTGAAAGAACATCCGTAATGTTGCCGGAGCCGTGATGGTGGTTTGTTGGTATTTCGTTGTAACGGCCTGTCGAACGATGAGTTCAACGTTAGGACATGTCGATGCGTAGAAAGTTTCCGATAGTTGAGCATCTGACTCGACCACCATGCATAAGAACAGCATCCCTAGAAAAAAGCACGTCAACATGTGTCTTTTTGAATCATTACTAGTATCCATCTTGATCTTCTCCTTTTAAGTTCTTGTTTTTCTATAAGGTCCTCTCTTGGATATAATATTGGATCACAACACTTTCTTTCTTGGACTCTCCGATATGCCACCGGGTATATTTGTAGCTGTTGAGTCTCTTTTATAGAATATAAATGTGCTTTTTTTTTGTCTTGATGAAAAAGTTTTAGGAATAGAGTATGTTTATTATGAATGATTAGAATATAGTCATATTAACAGATGAATGACAGAATTATACAACTGGGCTTTTCTGAAAATTTTACATAAGCGAGGAAGTTTCTTGAGTGAGGGGGTTTCATTGAGAGTGACATTTTAACAAACATCATTAAGTCAGTCATCTGCATGGATATATTAAAAATAATATTTCTTGAGTAAATGGAAATTATCGCTAACTAATATATTGTCGTTAATCACAAAAAGGATAAACTAAATTCAAAAGAGGAGTTTGAAAAGTAGTCTTGGTCTGATCCTTGAATTCAGCGAATGTACCTGTTCTAATGTAGTTCATCAACTAATTTAGATCAACGGTTCTTATATCTGAAGCCGACATCTTCAAATAAATATTTAACCAGTGTTGATATAACCATTTTAATTTGATTATTTTCAACACAGGTTTTGTTTTTGGTGTGATAATGATACTAGAGACTCCTAAACAAATTAAGCATTCAATTGCTGATGGTTAAAGTGTTATTATCAGCAAAGATCAAAAAAACAAAAAAACAAATAACGTTGGCGTGATGTAAGTGAAGACATTTCGATTTTCAACCACAAATAAGAAAACTATTTATAAGCTCGCTGTAGGTAAACAAATGTATATGTGTACAACAACCTACAAACACTTAGTAGCAAATTACTTTGATTTATAGAACTGGTTTAAATATTCTAGATATCTGGTATAAAGAGAACTAAATTTCACCTATGATTTCTAAATCAAAACTTGCATTATGACTTGACTTGTGTAAGAGAAAGTTTACTTTACAAATCCATTTTCCTAGCCTAGGCATGTTATGATCAGATGTTGTTGTACTCTATAAAGTTTTCCCCCTGATAGTTCATTATCTGACTTAGATTTTTGTTTACTTGTTAAGAATTAAAGTTTAATCAAACCTTCTCACATACCGTCATAAATTAAAAAAAGGAGTCTATGTTGAGAGCCTTAAGATACCAAAATTCGATCTAAGTTTATACTACGAAAATCGGAAAGATTTACGAGATCTCATATATTGTGAACTTGTTATGAAAATTAGTATCTATATATAAAAACATATATTTTATGTTATACAAAGTGCACAATTTGTACCTTGATATTATAATAGTTGATCTTAGCTTTATTATTTAGTCAATTAACTTATTTATACAAACATAATAATTTATCTACCTAATTCTTTACATATATAGATAATAAATCTTTATAATCTTATTTGAAAAATTAATTTTTTATATGTCGCGTTCATATTAATTCTCACAATAATCAATTACGTTGGTAATCTTATTGAGTTAAAATTATTGATTTACTTTTGGGTGGACGATATAATGTTTTGGGGATGCAGGATTTTGGGATTGAGGATTAACAGTGACTTCACTCACGGGTTAGAGAATTTAGCTTCAACACTAGGCATGTTACAAGCCTAGGCATGTTCAGAATGATAGTTGTACATGGTTTGAAACCAACTTTATAAAGTTTTATTATCCAATTGATTATTTGCATTAGATTTTTGTATATATTTAGTTTTTTGGTCAAATTGTTTTTTGTATATTTATTACTAGCATAATTTATCAAATGCAGAAAAAGTTGCAAATCAAAGCTAACTAGGTATTTTGCCCGCACATGCGGGCTTAATTTTCTTACGAATATCTATTATTTTTTGTTTTATTGATTCTAAAATAATATTATAAGTTATTTTTATAGTTTTAAAAAACCTAAATCAAACATTATAATATTTTATATGAATATGGATAATTCTTATCATGATTATTAATTTAAATCATTTATCTAATCAAATAAGTTTAATTATTTTTAAATCAATTTGAAAAAAACATCAAAATAAATGATTATTTGCATCCAAAAAATTCGACCTAAAACATTAAACTTTTTTACATGATAAAGTTATTTACAAACTAATTTTTCATTTGAAAATTTGAAAAATTTAAAGTCTATTTCGTTTCTTCTTAATTGATAAAAAAATTTGAAAATTGAATCGATAAATTTACATTCAAAAATTGATCTTACATAAAGAATAACATTAGTTTAGATAATAATACAATATATTTGAATTTATTTTTGTCAAACACGTATTTTCTTAAGGTTTAACTATATAAAATATAAATATAAATCTAATTTAACGTGTGAGTTCAGAGACGAAAAATAACTTCACAAATATATATCATTATATTATATTAATATATTCTTTTAATTTTAAAATAATTACGTATTATAGATTTTCAATTTTCTTTTTTGAATTATATACAATTAAAAATTTTACTTCATGAATATTTATTTATGTGTTTTCAGTTTTGGAATTTTTTTAATTAAAATATATTTTCCGGATAACAACACAATATCTATATAGGAATTATCTTTTTATTTTTAAATATATATTTAGATTATGGATAATTCTTATCATTATTATTAATTTAAATCATTTATCTAATCAAATAAGTATTAAATTCGTTTTAATTTTTGACTGATTTTTATATTTTATTCATTAAGGGTATAAACGATATTAACCACTCTAACTTTTAACGTGAGAGCTCCATTGCGAAAAATCACTTATTAAAATATATTTTCCGGATAACAACACAATATCTATATAGGAATTATCTTTTTATTTTTAAATATATATTTAGATTATGGATAATTCTTATCATTATTATTAATTTAAATCATTTATCTAATCAAATAAGTATTAAATTCGTTTTAATTTTTGACTGATTATTATATTTTATTCATTAAGGGTATAAACGATATTAACCACTCTAACTTTTCCATTGCGAAAAATCACTTCGCAAATAATTGTATAGATTTATAAGAACAAATCTTTCATCATACAGAAGATTACAAATACACACTATTGCTGCGCATAAAACATTTCTTCTTCTTTAGACTTGTATGGTACGGTACCAGTAAAGAACTCACCCGCTCCCAGGCCCTTAGTTCCCAGCTGTTGGCTTCCGGTTCAAGTAACGTATTACTGCATCTTCGACCCTGCAATGTTTCATAATTCAGAAACATATCATCAATCAATCAGTGGACTTCCTCCTCAGTTCCAAAACTCTAGCACATATAATTTGAGTGAATTTACAAGTCACAGAGACTAGATGATGATAAACTTACCATGGTTGATTGAAGAAATCTGAACGATGTTCTCTCTCAGCGTTACGACTAGCTTCTCCCGCTACCACCTTCAGATCCTTCCTCTGTGATTCGGTCAGAGCGTTTATGAATTCAACTGGCGACTGGCTGAACCCTAAGAAAAATGCCCGTCTCCTCCTATGCTCATGGATTTTCCTTATGGCCCCACATATCGCTTCATCACAAGTCTCAATCTCTTTATTCTTCTCTGCATTGGCCAACAAGTTGTTCAGATCCCTTTGGATAGGGAAAGGTACATCCACTAGGACATCATAACATGCTGATATGGCAGGGTTGTTTCCTGACAGCTTGATCTTGTGTTCCAAGTGAATGGGTGGTGGAGGTGACAAGTGATGAGATATCTTCTGAGAGACCATTGTGAACTTCAACTTCTCTTCCCCAAAGACTCTGTGAAGTGCAGCGTCACAGTTAAAGAAAGAAGGGTCATTTGGGCTCTGCAGTTTCCTCGCCTTAACGTAGTGCCAAATCGCAGCGATGATTCTTGGCCTGGTTTCAACTTCAATCCCAAGAACATCCATCAATGCAGTAGAGAGCTTGAACTTCTCAGGGAGGTAGTTCATCTCCAACCGAATAGTAGCTGCAAATTCTTGATTCTCTTTCCTCTTTATCTCAAACCCTTCCTGAGGAGCAGGTGAACGAGAACTCTCCCAAGTGATCAATGGGTTCTCAGGATACAGCCTCTGATCCAAGTTAACTATTACCTTTTTGAAAAAGACAAGAGCTTGGGATGCAATGGGTTTGGTTCCACCACATCTTCCAAAATCCTACCAACAATTTTAAGAGTCCATGTTGGAGGGCCGTCAGCGTTTGGACTCGTATTGCTTTGGTTAGCAAAAGTGTTGAACACATAGATCCTAAGCGTCTTCTGTATGCAAGGAGGGTTCTTAAGAGCCTCCTGTATGTCAACTTTCTTCCTACTCAACGCAGCATCAACCCTAGACTCTAACTCAAGAAGTTGTGTGTACAATGCAGACTCTGGCAAGATTGCTGCCACACGCTCCTGCAAAGACTTTTCAGGAAGCTTCTGTTTCTTCTTCCGTGCAGCAGGAGTTAGCTCCATAGTGTTGTTATTCACTGGGAAGCCAGAAGGAGGTCTCATTGGAGGTTCTTGCTGGAACCTCTTCATGTTTGAACTTCCAGGAGTGGTCATAGAAGGAGAAGATGGACCTAACCCACCAGTAATACCCTGAGAGCCTTGGCCTTGGTTCATGCTCATCCCTGCTTGGAACTGTGCTTGAGCTTTGGACTGAGCATGGGCCATGGCCTGAGCTTGGTTGAACTGAAACTGAGCAGGGAAGTTAGGTGACATATGAGACTGAGGAAAGCCTTGGTTTCCAGGAACAGAGCCAAAAGGAGGAGGAGGAGCAGAGCCTTGAGGCTTTTGTGGAGTGTTGTTGTTATTACCAGACATCATTAATGACTGTAAAATTCAGATGAAAAAAAAAACACTCTTTTTGAACATTACAACAACAGAAAGAGAACACCTTTTTGTAATGATTCAGAGTATATAGACTAATCTAACAAAACCTAGATAATTTCTAAAAATCGGAGTGTAAAAAAAACCCTAATTTTTCTTAAGGTTGATGCAAAGTTTGACGATATAAGATTAATCCACAGAGTCTGATTACTTCGAGAAAGAAGAGTGTTCCTTACAGAAGACGAAGACTCGTTTTCTTCTTCTGAATTCTCCTTCCTCGCCGGTGTACCGTCGATTAAAGAAACAAAATTACTAACCGGAGCAGCTATTTTGATTCACTAACTTGTTGTTGAGACCCGACCCGTAACTTTAAAGCCCAGCAACGATATTGTTGGGCCCATTGGCCCATCTTGAATTTCACCCATCTATAATTTTTTTCTTTACAAAATTGTTTTTTACATTTGAGCAAAGGATATATTTTCTTAAAAAAAAAGATTTGGCGTAAAATATATTTTCTTTAACATTTTTGTATGTAAAAGGCTAAGTGTTATGGTTATGTGTTTCTTCAAAAACACGTAATGGCATGGATTTGTAATAATAAAGAGGTTAGACCTTTTTATTAATATACCCACACTTATAATTAGAAGGCTGGTGAGCCGGTAAAAAGGATAATATATAGTTTTCAGACATTTGAAATAAGAAAAAACTAAAACGTGCACACCTATCTAAGTGCCAAACCAACATGTGTCTTTAAGTAGCCGTGTCTGTGACAATCTCACTCTTCACTATTTCAAAAACTCTTGTCTCCAAAAAAATGGCGGCAGCTTTACAAACGAACACGCGGTTGCATCCGATCAATGTCGTTCCAGGCAGATCTTTCACCAACCCCTCTCGCACGCCGTGTCGAATAAGGTGCGCCGCCGCATCACCAGGGAAAAAACGGTTCAACATCGCTCTCCTTCCCGGAGACGGGATCGGTCCGGAAGTCATCTCTGTCGCCAAGAATGTGCTTCAACAAGCTGGATCTCTCGAAGGTACTCTGTTTCTTTCTCATTGTAATCTTGGTGTGTTGCTTAAGACAGTAGCCAACTCAGTCTTTTGATGTATATTAATTACAGGACTGGAGTTTGATTTCCAGGAGATGCCTGTCGGAGGAGCAGCCTTGGATTTGGTCGGAGTGCCCTTGCCGGAGGAATCCTTTAAAGCTGCTAAAGAATCTGATGCCATACTTCTTGGAGCTATTGGAGGGTGTGTGTGTTCTTCTTCTAATAGACTCTTGAGGATGTGCTCCTAGTTTCATTCTCACCTTTGTGTTGTTGGGTATATAATCAGGTACAAATGGGACAACAATGAGAAACATCTGAGACCTGAGATGGCTTTGTTTTACCTTCGGAGAGATCTCAAAGTCTTTGCAAACCTAAGACCTGCTTCAGTTTTGCCACAGGTTTATTATAAGAAGCCTAGCTATCTTGGATTTGATCAGCTTATCACTTGAATCATTTTCACTTTTTTTTTTTTACAGCTAGTTGATGCTTCCACCTTGAAGAGAGAAGTGGCTGAAGGTGTTGATATGATGATTGTAAGGGAGCTTACAGGAGGTATTTACTTTGGAGAGCCAAGAGGCATTAAGATCAACGAAAATGGCGAAGAAGTTGGGTTTAATACAGAGTTCTACGCTGCTCATGAGGTTACTTACCTACTACTACTCTTCACATGAGTGTGCTCTCTACGACATAAGTTATATATATATGTGTAAATAGTAATAATGCGTTTCTCAGATTGATAGAATTGCTCGTGTTGCATTCGAGACTGCTAGGAAACGGCGTGGCAAGCTGTGTTCTGTTGACAAAGCCAATGTGTTGGATGTATGTTTACTACTTGTTTTTTTGAATTTGCTTTTTCATTTTTTTTTTGTATGCAAATATATTTTATGTCATGTATGTAGGCATCAATATTGTGGAGGAAAAGAGTAACTGCGTTAGCCTCTGAGTATCCAGATGTTGAACTATCACACATGTATGTCGACAATGCTGCAATGCAGCTTATTCGTGACCCCAAACAGGTGCTCTTGCTCGTCCATTGATTAAAAAATCTAAAGTGGTAGCTAGTACTCAAGGTGTTTTTGATATTCTTAAAAACATTTGCAGTTTGACACAATCGTCACCAATAACATTTTTGGTGATATATTATCTGATGAGGCCTCAATGATCACTGGAAGCATTGGGATGCTTCCATCTGCTAGTCTCGGTGTATCGGTAAATAACATTAAAATCCAAATCTTCCAAGTTTCCTACAACAATATCTGGATTGTTAAAACTTGTGTTGAAATCAGGGACCTGGACTGTTTGAGCCAATACATGGTTCAGCACCAGATATAGCTGGTCAGGACAAGGCAAACCCATTGGCCACCATTCTCAGTGCTGCAATGCTTCTGAAATATGGACTTGGAGAAGAGAAGGCTGCAAAGAGGATCGAAGACGCGGTCTTGGATACTTTGAACAAAGGGTTTAGAACCGGTGACATCTACTCCCCCGGAAATGTATGTATGATGATGCTTTTCATTTTCTTATTAAGTTAGTAAGAATTAGTTAATAATATTTACTTAAAAAATCTTTTTGTTTTTCGAAAATGGGATGTGAAACAGAAACTGGTGGGATGCAAGGAGATGGGTGCGGAGGTGCTAAAATCAGTGGACTCCAAAGTTGCAGCTACCGTTTAAGTATAATGATGATTTCAAGCAGATGAAAAGTGTGTAGCTCTTTGGTTTTACTATTACTTGTATGGTAATCCATGTATTTGAGTCCTAATATGCAAGCTTCTTGATAATAAATTTGGGATCAATTCTGCAATCTAAAGAACTGACTCTTCTCCAAAATGAATATTTTTTTAAAAAATGGCACTAATGTATATGCCCTATATATTAAAAAAGAAATATTCCTAATAATACGTTCACACTATATTTTTTGAATATGCTAACATATCATACTCACAATAACATATCATACTTACAATTGTTTAACAATTAATGCGTTCACATCTTAATTTTTTTAATTATACAATTTAATATCTTCACATTCTATTTTTTTCAATCAACTCATTTTTAGTTCATTCATTTTTGACAATTGTAATAGTGAACTGAAATTAATTAAAATGAGCACAATTATAAATAAATTTTGGGTATTAACTTATTAATAAACAAATAAATTAAAATAAATAAATTTAGTATTGTTAATTAAAATAGTTAAATTTTGGGTATTAAAATGAACACAACTATAAAAGTTTGTCTATTAAAGTGGGCAAAATAATTAGTTGAGATATTAAAGTGGGTATTGAAAAAATTTGGGTATTAAAAGACTTAATAAAATTTAGTTACAATATTTTTATGGAATTTTCTTTAGATTTTTTTTGGTAAGCTGAATTGACTTAAAATTAAATTCTGGTAAATTTATTATTACAAACCTTAATTACTCAAACCAAGACATCAAAAACCAAAACAGAGAAGAAAGAGACATAGGGCCTAAAACACAAAATCTCCAACTTCCACCATTAATAACCATGAGCTGTTATCTATTGCTCGATACTTCCACTGCAAGCAAACTTTTAAGTCAAGAAAGACTTCCCTGGGCGACATAGGACTGAAACCTCCTTTCCCTCATTACACTCCGAGCAATCATAAAAGCACTTCTGTTAGCTTCTCTACAAATCACATCCACCTTCCATTCTGGTATATTTATCATCACCTCTTTCAGCTCCTCACCATATGTCTGAAAAGCAGGTCAAGCCTTTGGGCGATTAACGGCACCTACCAGCTCTGAAGCTTCAATCTCAAAAGTCACCTTCTGCAATCTATGAGATATCATGCTCTCTTGCTGCCCATATCAGACCCAATCTTTTTGTCTCCAGAATTAACACAACTCCACTAAAGACTCTCCTGCTATGAATCAAAGTAACGCCCTCACTATTTCTCACCAGCCAACCCATTCCAGCTAATCCGGTATTTTTTGACCAAGAAATCCCAATATTGCATTTCACTCTCTCCTTCTCAGGTGCCTTCTAAACCTTTCCAGCTCTTTGTCTCCTCATTCTACCATCATCATTGGTTCTTGAGACTACTACCACCTCAAACCAGCGTTTAGAGTCCTCAAAACATTTTGCAATTGTAATGTAATCTCTGTTCCATTCTCCTTACCTTTAAAGACAAAAGCATTTTTATTTTTCCACAGTAACCAAAGAAACCAAGGGTAACTGTCGCGAAATTCCTTTGTCACTTCTGTATCGATCCTTCCCCACAGCTTCAAATAGGAGTCTAAAAAGATAAAAATTTATTATTGTCCTTTTGCTAGGAGTCTAAAATTTATTATTATCGTTTTGCTAGGAGTCTAAAAAGATAAAAAGTTTAGTTTTGCAATTTTTTTATATTATTGACATACTTGCTCCATCGAGTCTTCAGAAACTACTACTTTCCAATTCGTTCTCTTAATTTTTAGCTTTAAAGTAACACATAATAATATCCCCTTTTACGGATGACTAATTCCTTGAAAGGTAGAATGCTAATCCCCTTCTTATTATTTGAGGAGAACTTTTATAAATAAACCTTTAGTTCATGTGTTAATAACAAAATTGCCATTTCCTAGGTGTCAACACCATATTCACTCTCAGCCACCTTAACTAAAAATCCTTATGTTACTAGACTAATTACATATATTACCATTGTCTATTAAATAGTAACTTAACATAAAATACTACATGTTTCATATAAACTATATAAAACGATATACATAATATTGTAACGATACATATTATAGCATATTATACAAATATATTACAGTGTATATTGACATAAATACCATATGATTCATATAAAATATATATAACAATATACATATTATTGTAACGATACATATTATAGCATATTAAACAAACATATTACAGCATATATTAACATAAATACTATATGATTCATATAAAATATATATAACGATACAAACATATTATATTGAAATATAAATTATAATATATATAAACATAATATCATTTAATGTGTTATTGAATATAAAATTTTTTAAAAAAGTTCTGGTCATTGGCATATAATAATTTATTTTAAGAAATTATTTTTACTTATTTTAGACTACTTTTATATTTATCGCTTTATTCCTTATAACAAATTAATTGATTTTAAAAAAATATTTTTACTTATTTTAGACTACTTTTATATTAATCGATATTGTTTTCCCTTATAATAAATAGTTAGTATTTCATTTAACCCAAGATGATAAACAATACATAGTTAATTTTATCCTATATATAGCACATAGTTTCAAATTAGGAAGCATTGATTATTATTTATTGATTTTTTGACTTTTGGAATCAATCAACATTATTTCTTTCCTTATATTTCATATTGTATTTAATTGTGTAATTGAATCAAAAATTAAAAAAATGAAGTTTTGATCATTGGCATATAAAAATTGATTTCAAGAAATTATTTTTACTTATTTTAGACTACTTTTATATTTATTCTTTTATTCCTTATAACAAATTAATTGATTTAATTGATTTCAAGAAATTATTTTTACTTATTTTAGACTCTTTTTTATATTAATCGATATTGCTTTCATTATTAACAAAACGTTATTATTCCATTTAACCCAAGCCGATAAACAATACATATGTAACATAGCTAATTTTGTCCATTATATAATACATAGTTTCAAATTAGGTTCTGAATATAATTGATGATGTAATTTAGATATCACGTATTTCCTGTATATAAAAAAAGTTATATTAAATGTGTTTTAATGTTAAACAATTATGATTATATTAAAATAAAGTTATATTATTCTATTGACTGAATCATATTAATGTCTGATTTAATTTTTCGTTTGATTTAATGAAATTAAGTGTGTTTTCAATCAATTTCCTATATTTGATCTTTCTGATTGTTTTATTTACAGCAAATTTCTATATTGCAAATAAAATATTTCCTGTAATAGTGATAAACCATTATGATAGTGTAATCACTGCAAGATTCTTACAAGAAATTTAAATCTTTGAAGGAGAATAATATGATAACAACTGATTGATTTCACCATCACATTATAACCTTCCATCTATAAAATTCGTGTAGTTTTTTTTCTTACTATATATAAGTGTGGTATCAATTACATCTGATTTGAAAATATATAAATTATACTTGGAGTGATTCGTATATCAAAATTATGAAATAAATATATATATTTTATTAAATCAAATAGTTGGTTGATCATGTATATATGTATTATCCCCTACTTATTATTTGAGAACTTTTGAAAACAAACCTTTACTTCATGTGTTTATTACAACCATGTCATTTCCTACGTGGCAACTCCACAAGCTCTCTCACCTCTTTTAGCCAAAAAACCTTAGTTAACTAGAGTAATTACACAACATGCCATTGCTGAAAACATTATTATTTACATCGTAACGTATTTAAAACAACAATACGCATAACAATTAATATGTATATGATTTGATATAGCAATGGCAATGGCACATTTACTCTCACCTCAATCGGTTTGAAGAATATTATTTACATTCTCTCTGATTATATGCTCTTCAAGGGATGACTCACTAGATGGTAAACATTTGCTGTCAAAGATATATTGAACTACTATTTATTCAACATGCATATAGAACGATTTTGTTACATGTTTTTCTACGATTTATTCAAAATATATTTCGTTACATATAGGTGCCTATCATCTTTATAATATAAGTAAAAATAAAAATCATAAATGCTATCACCTTATTTCATAAGTCCTTATTGTCCACTGGTCATATATTTAAATTTTATATTTTATATTTAAATATGATTTTATTCATACTGAAACGTATGGTTTTTGATCATTAAACGTATCTGATATAAACATGCATACACACATACACTGTGGCATTTGATCAAATGTATAGTAATGAAACATAAATGGAGCCCGTGACATTTGGTATTTGTAATCATATATGAGATTTCCAGTTTCCCTTATATGCATGAGTAGTATTAGTAGTGGCTACAATTATGTTCAATCAAATTTAATGGCCGAATCTGTATGCGTATTTCAGTTTCCTTTATATTTATGCGTAGTATCATTTTTCCTTATATGCACGAAAATTTATGAGGCTAAAATGAATTAAATCACACAAAAATTTATATGAGAACAAATCGTATGAAAGTCAATCAAGAATATCAAGTAAGTCAATCACGTATTATTCAAATTAGTCGAACCGTTTAATGCTCTCTTTCCATATGAAATTCAATCACCTATATATAATATTTTGAAGTAAATATATCCTAAATTATTGCTTGCTTGATAGACAAGCACAAATCGTTGTGAATATTCTAAAATAAATGTCTCTTACACATATATAACCAAACGTCTACACGTCCATTAAGGCACACAAGCAACCATAAACGATCCTGCATTTTCTATGGCTTCTATGAACTTTATCTCTGAGTTGAAGCTTTTCAAGAACATGTGGAAGGTGCAAGTCAAAATTATCCGCCTTTGGAAACAGTATTCCGTAGCTGTTGGGGAGACTATCGAAATGGTCTTCCTCGATGCTAGAATAAGTTCATTTCGACATCAATCTTACTGTTTTATTCTATTTCTCCTTTTGTCCTCGCCAAGTTGAAATTAGTATATGTACTCGGAGTTTTGAAGATAATTTCTCTTATTATATCATGTTTAGTTTATATTTCTTATTTTGTTTTAATATAATTTTTTCTCATTATATTATGTTTTATTTTCCTATTACTTGTTTTTATTTATTTTGTACTGTTTTTTAGTAGTCGATTTCTTTAGTTTTTTGTATCATCATCATATAACTATAAGAAAAACATTGAAAACAAAATTCTATGAATCATTGCTTCGTTTCGCAGCTATACTAATTTCTAATTATATGACTATATGTTTTTTATTACTGATTCACATTCACTACCTATTCTTCAATTAAACAAATTAATATACCAAATTATTGTTCGATAAAGTTAAAGTCATCTCACCCTGCGCAGGGCGCGGGTCAACACCTAGTATCCCCTAATTTTAAGAAAATAACATCCAACTGATCTGGTGTTCAAAAAAAGAAAAGACATCCAACTGATCTATACTAAAAACTTCCGTTTACGAAAAACTATGTGGTTACTAATTATTCATCAACTAAAAATAACTATCAAAGCATCCAAAAATAACTAATTGAATATATGTCTTCTCTATTATATAAGCACCAATAACCTCTTTTTCATAATCACACAGAGCAAATTCCAAATACAATTAAATAAATAAATACAAATAATTGAGCTCCTAATTGGAGTTTCTTTTATAAAGTATTTATTTATTTAATTTATTTGGAAAATTACAAAATAACAAATAATTAATAATATGGGGATGTCTAAAATTATCAAAGTTATCGTCTCTCTGGCTCTTGTGGTGTTCTTGGCTCTTGCAGCAACCAAGATAGAAGCAGAGGCCGTAGATTATGATGTCCTTATACATGGAAATACCAAGGCTTGTGATACAAACAAACATCCACACGGCTGCCCGATGGAAAAAGTCAATCGTTACCGCATAGGATGCCATCCAAGCCAACATTGCCGTACGTGATGGTCTAGACCCAAAAAAATGAATCAACCAAGTAGAGCACCACTCTTGGTTAACTTTTACAAATGACATCCCCGTATTAATATCAGATGATTAATTTCATCCCGTTGTTATTTATCTTATCCCTTATATATTAAAGGAGAAACATTTGAAAAATTATAACCTCAATTTTGTAATAATTAAAAAATACCTCATGCTTAGGTGTCATTCAATTAGGTAGTCAATTACATTCAATTGAAAAATAAGTAGGTCCACATTCGATTTTTAAATGTCGCTAGATACATTCGTTAGTCAAATTATATGATATGATGATATGATATGACATTTATGATAGAATCATTTATGATAATTTCCCTAGATATAATTACTATTTTATTTTCTTTCCATAAATAAAACCTACGGAATTACCATAAATAACTAATATATATGATATGATGATATGATATGACATTTATGATAGAAGCATTTATGATTGTTTCCATAGATATAATTACTATTTTATTTTCTTTCCATAAATAAAACCTACGAAATTACCATTAATGATTCTATAATAAATATTTACAGTTTATATATCCTCTATCATTTTTCTTTAATTTTATATTATTAAAATAAATTAAACAATCAGATTAGTTATAAAATTAAACTTTAGATTTTTTCCTATAGATTATATTTTGAATTTAAAAAAACGAGAATAAATAACTAAAACTATTAAAATTATTACGTTAAAAATTAATGATCAAAAGTTTAACATTTTTATTATAAAAAGATATACATGATTTTAAAACCATATAAGTAAAAAGTATCATTCAATAATAAAACAAATATATTTACAGATTAAACCATATACCATATAAAATTACATAAATATTTTAATTTCAAAAATTTCTATAAATTTTCAAGAACATTTATAAATTATAAACTTATTAAATTTTTCACATTGAAAATTTTTGTTATCAATGATTTAAATATCTTAGTTTTTTTTTAATTTTATATTTTTAAAAGATATTAAACAATCGATAATATGGTTATTTTTGGTATATACCATACAAACCGAATGGATGTGATTTTATAAAAACCATAGGATTT